GACTCTGAACTTGAAGGCAAGGATTGAGCCATGCCCATTTGCGACCCTCTTGACCTAGCTCAATATATTTTTAATGGATGGATGGGTGAATAAAAGCACAAATGAAAAAAATGTTTTGGAAGTCCTTGAGCTGTTGAGGGTCAAGAGGCACCTCATAAATGAGAACAGGTTTTATCAGGGAGAAAATATGAATATGAGGATTATAAAAGTACTGGAGTCACTATGAGGGCAGGAATCTTTGTATTTTTTTTTGAATGATTTATCCCCAGGGCTTTTGACAGTACCTTGAGTACAGCAGGCCTCAGTAAATGTCTCTTGTATGAATAAATGAACCATCTCACTCTACCACAGTATTCAGAATAGTTTCCATGGGGAGTCTTGAAAATGCCATCACTTGGTAGTATTCAAGCTTGTTTTGGAAAGACATTAGTTCTGTTTGCTATAGTATTTTGTATATTATTGGCTCTTGGTGAAATCTTTACCATGATGATGAACAGTGCTCTCCCCTCTCAGAATCTCAACTTTGTCTGCCACTGAAGGCATATTCTATTTGTGGAAGATGTTAAAATAATAGAAACCCAAGCCTGGGCCTCCTTGAGGAGCTTGCAAAACAGTGGCCTGTCATGGTCACACATCTTCAATCTTTCTTTCTGTTCTCATCAGAGCTGGCCTGCTGGGTCCAGTGAGAACTGCTTCCTTAAGAATGACAATACTCATAGATGGGCAGGGTCTTGTTCTGGGAATAAGGTCCATGAGTCTGTATTTTCTAACATCTCTTATTATGGAGGAGGCATAGACAATACAGTGGAGACACTATAATGAAGAACATTTCTCCTTCTTTGGGACTTCACAGGCTCCACATCTGTTGCTAATGATATTTAAATTGAGGGGAAAATAAAGGGAGCAGCATGCAGTATTCAGCGAGTATCCCTTATTCAGTCCATTCTTGGATTCATCTGGGATGACAGGCAGAACAACTCTCCTTAAAAAGGCAGCCTGACTCTCTTTTGGTGCCTCCCTTCATGTGAAAACTAACATTAGTCTTATTTGACCGGCTTGGAAAAGCAAATACTCTTGCAGGAAAGACAGCTGTCAGCCAGAGGGGACCCCCTAATCTGCCATCATTGTGGATTAACTTTATTGAACAGCAGTTGTACAAAAAAATACTGTGTTAGATAAAAGGGAGCTCCACACCAAACCCCAGAGATGGCCTGTCTCTGCTCCTCACTTGATGAATATAATAAGTCAGACATTGCCCTGATGACAACCATGTGTCCAAGAGACTCAGCATCCATGACAGTATGGATTTGAGCTCTCTGGGGGAAGTCAAGAAAGCGTATGTATTATTTGTTTTTCATCAACGCCAAAAGCCTTTTCTGTTGTCACATATAGGCCAGATGAGTCCGGACAAAGAAAAGTCTGCTGGCTCAGTAGGAAACCTCCTAAGGGGCAGAAAAGTAGCTGAATTACTAAGCCATCAATGGGTGACCTCAGGGAACAGTTCTATGTGGCTCATTTGCGGCCTTTTCCATTTTAAGGAATTTGGGGCAGTAGGAAGAGGACTAGGGGGATGTTTTATCCCATTCATTTAAAACATTACATAAAAGGGTGGCACCCGGTTCCCCAGACTTTAGCAAGAAGAAGGGTAGGCATTATTGGGGTGTGGTGTCAACTTTCTATTTCTGTGGACTCCCCACCGGATTCACAGAGAGCAGTCATTAGTACTGTCGGACACCTACTATTCTCTTCACCTGCCATTGTCCAGTACTTCTCCGGGGAAAAATTCACCCCTGCATTCATTATACATCACTGTTGTTAAGAATAGAAATAAGCCATAATTTAACTTTTTATGAGCCATATATCAGATGTGAACTTGAAATAATAGTTTTAATCATGGCTGAGTTCATTGACTCACTGTGAGTTAGACATCATTCTAAGACTTTATACGTATTAACTCATTAATCCTTATAACAACCCTATGCCATAGGTGCTATTATTATCTCTGTTTTTACAAATGAAGAAATTGAGGCATAGAGAGGTTAAGTTACCTGCTAAAGGTTACACAGCTACTTAATGGCAGGCCAGGGATTTATTTGAACTTAGGCAGTCTATATTCAGAATCCATGTTCTAATTTTGATGATGAAACTGCCTTCCCAAAATAATACGGAGAGGAGAAAAATCAGTTCACATATAACTGAAGTAGTTTTACACATAGCTTTACAAAGTATGTCTTAGCCTAGTGCTACTGCCTCATATACTTTTAAGACAAGAAGGGCACTGCTAAACTAAATATCGGTACTTCTAAGACCAGGTTTCCAAAAAGTCAAGTAACTTTCCCTGGAGCATAACTCAATGATCACTGAATCACAAGGTTGAAGGGGACCCTGAGAAGCCATTTCTTCATAGTCCTTAAGAAAACAAGAGGGAGGAAAAGGGATTAGAAGCAGAAATTAAAATCACTCTTGAGGGTTCAAATGTCCGGTCGGGGGTGGATGTGATGAACACTCATTAGAGCTGACAGTGGCTGCACAGCACCCAAGTACTTTCAATTTAAGTGGGAGCTTAGCAGCTATTTGAAAGAAGTATGTTAGTATTTCCTTCAACTTAAAGAACATGTTGTATGACTAACAGCAATAATAATTATGCCAGTTAACCTTTATTGAGTGCTTATTATATACCAAGCATTGTGCTAAGTATATTATTTAACCTTCATAGCAATCTTATGAGGTACATACTATAACTACTCCATTTTACAGATGAGAGAACTAAGGTACAAATAGGTCAAGTAACTTGCTCAAGGTCACATAGCTAGCAAGTGGCAGGGCCAGGATTCAACCCAAGCAGCTTGTCTTTGAGGCCTGTGTTATTAAATACTAAGAAAGGTACTGTCTCTGCAGAAATAGCCCCCTCAGCTACTGTTAAGAGAACCTACCTCAATTTTCTAGACCTAATATTGACCTCAACACAAGCTTTAGGGCTGTAATGATAACTTGGATGATTTTTTTACTCTCAATACTAGGCGTTTTTTTGCTCCGTATTATAGATGGGTGACTAAGCACTGAAGATTACTTTGTGAGCATAGATTTATATTTAGATGTAGTAATTTACAAATAATCTGATGTAAGCTAATATTTAGTTCCCTTGGTATTAGAGCAGATTTGGCCTCAAGATTTTTCCTGGGACACACAGTTCAGACTTCCATAAACTGGTAATATTTAAGCCAAATCAGACAATCTAGTCACTTTTGACTATAAGAGATTGTGATTAAGGACCACCCCATATGGAACTATAAAATAATATATAAGATTTTAGTTTAAATTCTATTATAATGAAATAATGAAGAAAAACTAAATATAAACTGCTTTGGAAATGTTTATGAGAAATAATAATTATTTTTAAAGTATTTTAACGCCAACATTTTTGAGCATGCACTGTGTGCCAGGCATTGTGCTAAGCACAATTTAATTCTTACAATAACCCTAAGGGTTAGGTACTAGTAGTCTGATTTTATGAATGAGGAAATTGAGTCTCAAAGAAGATATGTAACTACCCAAGGTGAAGTAGTAAAAGAAACAGGCTTGAAAGTCAGGCAGACTGACTCCAGAGTCTGAATTCTTAGCCACTATGCAATACTGGCTCCTGTCATAACACCTGCTGGTCCCAGATTGGCACCACTAGTCATTTCAAACCTAAGGAGATACAAGGTCCAATCATTCTAGCCTTCAGAGAATTCTTGGTTGTTCATTTCAATCATAGTCGGTCTACTGAAGTAGGATGTAGCTAGTTGACTATAGTCTATGGTATGAATTATAGTTTGGTGGGACTGTTCTTTGCCTCTGCCACGTATAGAACATCTAAGCTCTTTTTTCCTCCACCCATTTCTCACTTACATATTTTTTTCTTTGTTTGGCTTTTTTATGCTTGTTTCCTAGCTTCAGTGTAATAACATTTCTTAATTTATTATTAAGATTATTAAGTATTGTTGTTACCTAGCCTACCTCACCCAAATTATAACCTACAAGGATTCAAAATCTGGGCTGGAACTGAGAAATTATTTTGGGGGTAACTAACTATATATAAACAAATGGCACAACAAAGAGGCGTCATTCTCAACTTTAACGTGTTTCTCAACCTTAACTTGCTTATGAATCACCTGCGGATCATGTTAAAATGCAGCTTCTGATTCAGTAGGTCTGGGCTGTGGCCTGAGATTCTGGGATTCTTAACAGCTCCCAGGTTATGCAGACCACACTTTAAGTAGCAAGGTCCTAGGTTGGCCTGGTCCTGTCATGCTTTTAAGGTGGATCACAATAAGTGAATCTGGGGAGATTAATGTTTACGATGTTTTAAAAAGCACCCTAGGCTTCCTGATACGTCAATTCCCTAATGTCTCCATAAACCCATTTAATGGTTAATGGCTCTGACAGTCCAGGAAGCTTTTTTGTGTCTAAACTAAGCCCTTCAGATGATATGGCATTTTCCTTCTGGTTTTATCTTTAGTGGAAATGGAGTTAGTACACCATGCCCATTCTCTTACAGGTTACTTTGTTTAAAAAATATGAACAGTTATTCAACATCAACAATAGTCTTTGGGATGTTCCCCACTGTCTGCTATCCTTCCCTTTATGAACCTAAGATTTTTGGGCTATCTAAGTCAGTTCCTAGCTCTGTGTTTATTTGCCTCCTCTAAGAAATCTCTAAAATTAGACAAACTTTGACATTACTTGCCAAATCCTGTTGTATTTTTATTTCAATGAGCTATTTAAATGTTCAGTGACCATATCCTGCATCAGATATACCCCTAGCTTGCCCATAGTGCAATAGGCAGTATACTAGTAACTACTGGCCACCCAGCCTGTAAAGCTCAGATTACAAAAATGCACACTCTAGGCAGAATCTGGTAAATGTCAACTTCAAAATAAGTTGTGTCATACTGTTATATTTATGTCCACATGGTCAATAAAAGGAAACACTTGTGAGGTGATTAAAAATAGCATACCAGGTAAAATTGGTTGTCCAGCAATTCCCAGCGGTGCCATTCCAAGATTATTCATTGCTGTGGCCCATGCAGTTGGATCAGACATAGGTAGCGTCATTGCAGTGGAATCCACATTCAGAGTTCTACTATTATCAGCTAAAAAGAAATGACAAGCAAAATAATTTGTTGCATTTAGGTTTCAGTATCTAGTTTACTTACCAATGTAAACTCTGGCAAACTCTTTACAGAAATGGACTGATGGACAAGTGATGGATAAGGTCTTAACTCCAGCCCTTTACAAGGGTTGAAACAGTACAGCTTGAACTGTCAGGAAGTCATAGAATTTGAAAGCAGTTTACCAGATGGCATTTTAGTGTTTCTTTCTCTTTCTCTCCTCCTCTATCCCTCGCCCCTCACTCTTACCTTCCTTCCCTTCTTCCTTCTTTCTTTCCTTCATTTTTGTTTCTAAAGTCATGAAGATTTTAATTTTTTAGAGCAGTTTTAGGTTTTCAACAAAATTGAGGGGAAAGTACAGAGAGTTCACATATACCTCCTACCCCTACACATGCATAGCCTCCCCTATTATCAAAATCCCCTACCAGAGTGCTACATTTCTTACAACTGATGAACCTACATTGACACATCCTAATCATCCAAAAGCCACAGTTTACATTAGGTTTCACTCTGGTGTTTTACATTCTACAGGTTTTGAAAAATGCATAATGATATATATCCATCACTATAGTATCATACAGAGTATTTCCAATGCCCTAAAAATCCTTTGTTCTCTGCTTATTCCTACTTCCCCACCTCCCCTAACTGCAGCTACCACTGATCTTTTTACTCTCTTCATAGTTTTGCCTTTTCTAGAATGTCATATAGTTAGAATCGCACAGTATGTAGCCTTTTCAGATTGGCTTCCTTCACTTAGGAATACGCATCCAAGTTTCCTCCATGTCTTTTTGTGGCTCCAGAGCTCATTTCATTTTTCCCCTGAATAATATTCCATTGTCTGGATATACCACAGTTTATTATCTTTTCACTGAAGGACATGGTGATTACTTCCAAATTTTGGCAATTATGAATAAAACTGCTATAAACAATTGTGTGTACATTTTTGTGTCAACATAAGTTTTCAACTCCTTTGGGTAAATACCAAGCAACACAATCACTGGATTTTATGGTTAGAGTGTATTTAGTTTTGTAAGAAACCTCCAACCTGTCTTCCAAAGTGGCTGTACCATTTTGCATTCCTACCACCAATAAATGACAGTTCCTATTGATTCACATCCTTATCAGTATTTAGTGCTGTCAGTGTTCTGGATTTTGCCATTCTAATAGGTGTGTAGTGGTATTTCATTGTTTTAATTTGCATTGTCCTGATGACATATGATGTGGAATATCTTTTCAAATGCTTATTTACCATCCATATATCTTCTTTGGTGAGGTGTCTACTAGTCATTGGCCCATTTTTAAAATCAGGTTGTTTTCTTATTGTTGAGTTTTAAGAGTTCTTTGTATATTTTAGATAACAGTCCTTTATCATATGTGTATTTTGTAAATATTTTCTTCAAGATTGTGGCTTGTCTCCTCATTCTCTTGACATTGTCTCTCGCAAGTTTTAAATTTTAATGAAGCCCAGCTTATCAATAATTTCTTTCATGGATCATGACTTTGGTGTTATATTTTAAAAAATCATTGCCATATTCAAAGTCATCTGGGTTTTCTCTTATGTTGTTTTCTAGGAGTTTTATAGTTTTGCATTTCACATTTAGGCCTATGATCCATTTTAAGTTAATTTTTGTGATAGATATAAGATCTGTGTCTAGATTCATTTTTTTGCATATGGTTGTCCAGTTGTCCTGGCACATTTGTTGAAGAGACTATCTTTGCTCCATTGTATTGCATTTGCTCCTTTGTAAAAAATCAGTCGACTTTATTTATGAGGATCTACCTCTGGGCTCTGTATTCTGTTCCATTGAACTATTTGTCTATTCTTTCATCAGTACCACCCTGTCTTGATTACTGTAGGTTTATAGTAAGTCTTGAAGTGTCAGTCTTCCAACTTTATTTTTCTCCTTCCAATATTATGTTGGCTATTTTGGGTCTTTTGCTTCTCCACATAAGCTTTAGAGTCAGTTTTTTTGATATCCAGAAAATAACTTGCTTAAATTTTGATTGAAATTGCATTGAATCAGGTTGGGAAGAACTGACATCCTGACAATACTGTGTCTTCCTATCCATTAACATGAAACATCTCTCCATTTATTTTAGTTCTTCTTTGACTTTCTTCATCAGAATTTTGTAGTTTTCCAAGTTTTCTTTTTTCAAGTGTACATACCACAGAAGCTTGGGATGATTAAGAGATTACCCATTCTTCTCATAGTCTAGTTGCATATAATTACTTTAGCAGCTTCCATACAACTACTCATACATGCAAACCAAGAAAAAACATCCATGGGTTTCCACAGTAGCAATGAAAAGGAACAATTCCTGATGTAACTTCGTATCTTTGAGGCAGTACTACTGAGCTGGACACATAATCAACACACATCAATTTGGCCAACTGAGTATTCTGAGGGTTAGGAGGATACCAGAGTATAAGCAGATAGGAGACATAGCCCCTGCCTTCAAAGGTTATACAATCTAATTGAAGAGACCAATGATGCTGGTGATGATTATTACTATTATCATTACTCTAATCACCTCCATCCATTACTACCCCTATTTATTGAACACTTGCCATATGCTAGGTGAAGCTCTTGGCATGCATTATTTTCATTTAACTTACACAACAACCCTATGAGATAGGGGATCTTTATATCTCCATTTAATAGATGAGGGGATTTGAAGGGTTATATATATAGTCCAAGGTCACACAAGATGTGTACTTCTAGCCACCATGATTTAGTATCTCCTAATTAAACAATTAGGAAACAATTAGAGAGTCAAATGTTATAGACAAGAAATGTTACGGAAGTTTAAGGAATGAAGAGCTACTGTGGTTTGAGTAGGTGGGAAAGGCTTTGTGGAGAAGATAGGATTTGAAAGAATGGTCCAGATTTCTACAGAATATCTTGAGTTATGGGTAGTTATTAGATAGGTGAAGAAGAGGGGGTAAGGCATTCCAGAGCAGGGATGACATAAGCAAAGACTTGGAAGTGAGATATACATATATATATATATATTGCACAGTTGGGAGAGATATAGCCGTAAATCATCTGAGCACAAAACATCTTTTATTTTGGGAAGTTTTTCTCTGATTACCAATATCCATACAAAAAAAAAAAAAACCAACAACTTTCCATTGGTTTCCTCCTACCTCCCAGTATGCACTCCTACCAGTTACACCCCCAAGGCAACTCTATTCTAATAGTAGCTTGCTAATATCCGTCCATCACATCCTTCCAACCTGGCAATATGAGGGATGATCCTTGGCTGGGTTACTTATACAAGTGCTATTTTGGTCACTGATTGGTCATTATAAGCAAATATAAATGTCCAAAACATTATTTCTGAAATATTAGTTTTTATTATTCCCCTATACTGCCTATGCTTCCTCTCCATAAACCATCCCCTCAACAGAGTGATTGCTGGCCCTAAGCATTTCTTACTGCAATCAGAAGTCACATTTCCAAACTGGTGATTTCTCCATCTGTAGGAGCTCTAGTCCTTACACCCAGTTTTCAGTGCTTTCCTTGTAGGCATATAAGAAGTCTAGAAATAGCCTCTGTAAATATTATCAAGAAAACAAACATGGGGCATTAAATATCCATTGGTCAAGAGTTTATATAGTGATTATTAGGTTCATCCTGACTTCCAGCCCCAACTAGGGGAGACAAACTTTTAGAGAATGTTGTAGCTGGAAGGGACCTTTAGACATTACTGAGTCTGCACTCTGATTTTTTTTCTGCTGGCTAGAGAATGACTTCCAGTGGAAACAGGTAGTTTTTAAGAAGAATTGGGCCCCCATGCCGAAAATAATTTTTGTAACAGTGTGGCTACTCATTGGCTCTGCAGGCCTGGGAAATAGAAGAAAATCAGGAATTATTCTCAATAAAGAGTTCCGAGATCAAAGAATTTATAATGTACCAACGAGCCACACTCTGGACTAATTTGGTGGGTGTGAGTAGAGAATGATCTAAATTATTAGTTTTTTTAAAGGACAGCATAGTATCACTATTTTCAAACTACATATTAATTCATAGTGCTTGTTAAAATATTAGCAACTACAGTTCCTGCTAGGCTTGTTTACATGAATAGATAGGGAACATGTGTAATTTAACAGCATTATTTTGCTATAATGAACTTGATTCTTAAATCCTTAAGGAGTTCTGCTTTAAATGCCCTTCTCACCTCCCTCCCCTTCCTCAACACTCATCTCCACCTGTCAAATCCTACACATTTTTCAAGGGTGGTCTCAAATGCCACCTTGTCTCTGACGCCACCTCACTGGAATGAATTACTCCTTTCTATGTGTTCTCATAGTATTTTATCTAGAATTTGATTTTCCCATGTTTGCTTATTCTCTCACTTCTCCCCAAACATTTTATTGTATCTTACTATGTACTAGGTTCTGTGCTAGGGACTAGGAATACAGAGATGAACAAAACTCATTTACTGCTCTGGAAGAACTCCATATACAATGAGAGGCATGACATATAAACAATCAAACACAAATCATTGTAGTAAGTATTGTATCAAAAACTAAAAGGCAAGTGCTACAGGATACAGAAGGGGTAATGAAATATGCTGGAATGGATTTGCAGATATGTGTTTGGGGTTGGGGGTTGGAGGAGATGAAGAATAGCCAGGGAAGTCTTCAGTGGCAAAGAATTATTTGAAATGAGTCTTTAAGGAGGGGTAGGATTTTCCTCTAGTTAGTGAGTGGAGGAGTAGGGTTGAAGAGCATTCCAGGAAGCAAGAACAACTGAACATTTACCATTGACTGCCTTGAATTATAGCTACTGGATACATGTCTCTCTTCTGCTAGCCTGCATGCTCCTTTAGGTCAGGGACTGGGTTTGGGGCATCTTTGTTCCCCCATTTCTTAGTTTAGTGTCCGGTATGAAGTAGGTATTCAAAAAATACTGGAGTGAATGAAGGAAATCAACTTACACTGATTTGGGGCACAATAATCAATCCATGCAATGACA